ATAATGTGAAAGAATAATGTTCAATCAGATCATCTTTTAAGATAATGAGTAAAAAACTTTAAGCCTCATTTGATAGAATCACATATTGCTCAATTTTCTTTACCAATCCCTGCGAACCCCATAAGGTCTCGGCTCTTGAAATCATTCCGTTGCTATCTCTTAGTGACTTAAGCGCCTCATATGGTTTTGGTTTCCTTAGTCGTTTTCATCAAAATTTATGGTCTTGGTTTCCTTAGTCAATTTCATCAAAATTGAGTTTATAATACCTGCACATTTGCTTGGGAGACCTGGATAGTTTGTCCATGGAATTGGTGCTACTATCTACAATTTTATGAGCTGTGAACAGTTCAGTTGTGCCAAGGCAGGTGGGAAATGTTCACTTCTATGTTTCATGATTTTGGTTAGGAATCCTATCACTGAACCTCTCAGTTCATTCTTGCAGTTCATTGAAATTGTAATATATTAATGTGTACAGAATTTCTATGACCATAGTTTTTTTCCTCTGTATCCATTAACTAGCATGTTGATCATGGATTAATAGCACAAGTTTTGGTCATAACTTGTGATTAGGGGTACAAAAGGGCCATGTCTAGCTGGACAAGGCCCAACACACTGATCAAATGAATTGACCTGGGCCCTATGAGGCCCAAAACGTGAGCCGAGGCCTAGCTCCATTGGAAAATTTTACGATGTGTGTTCATACTCTGTTAAATAAATGTGCAAATTTCATCCCAAACATGGTCACAAGTTTGATGGTGAGGGCATCAAACTTTGTATCAACTAACCCAGGATAGAACCCACAGTTAATTTGCCTTTTCAAACAAAAAAAAAAAGCCACTCAGTTTAGGGAGCCACCCACATTTTCATTCTGCCACCCAAAGCATAGAGATTACTAAATATTTGAGTGGCCAAATAATAGATCTCAATTAAAAGGAAAGGTTGAATAAATGGGACAGGCCTGGCCAGATCAAGCCTGACCCAGCCTGTTTTCTCATTTTAAGAGACCCACCCACGTTTTCATAGCAATGCAAAACATGACGATTACTAAATATTTTAGTGGCTGAATAATAGACGTCAATTAAAAATAAAGCTTCAAATAAATGCGACAGGCCTGACCCAGCTTTTTTACTCATTGTATGGGCCTGTAGGGCCTCACTTGTTTTGCCCAGCCTGGCCTAATGTACCTTAAGACAATACCTGGCCGCAGCCCATAGCAGATGGCCTACTTGCCCTCTCAGGCCGGCCCAATCCAATGCTGAACTACTCATGACAGGTAGGGTTGAGTTGACTCAAGTCTTGCAAGGAGATGATTTAGTACTCATGCCCAAATGAGCCCTTTTAAAAATTGGCCTATTTGACAGATCTCAACTTCTGTGTGAAGCTCAAAAGAGATGCAACATTTTTTATTTCTCAAAAATTTCGCATGCTTTTGCTTAAATGGTGGTGGGGATCTAGAATGGTCTTAGTTGAATGACCACCTTCTAGACCTCTTAACATACTCAGAGGGCACTGTCATATCAAACAAAGACATAGTAATGGCCCCAGGCCTAGTGGTCAAGGTGCCACAAAATGACGTTCAGAGAAAATTAACCAAAAGACGCATTTAAGTTAAAAGACACTCTAGATGATGCATTTGTCGTATATGAGCCTCGAGTTGAGCTGACTTCAAGATTACTTTGTCAGCGCACTATGATTTTATATATGCAATCTCTGCACTTCATAATGTAATAATAAACTGGTTGGCAACCCAAGGTTGTAGTTATTGATTCTGCTTAAAGGTTTATTGGCAATCCAAGGTTGTAGTTATTGATTCTGCTTAAAGGTTTATTGCCCCTGTTGATTTAAAACTGATTGTTGTCTTATTTACTATTCTCAAATTAAATATTTATATGATGAGGCTTGCCCATGAGAAACTTGAACTTGCAGAAAGGTTAGTTAAGATAACTAATATAATAGAAACAATCATAGGCACATTAATGCACTCTGATTTATTTATGGAACTAAAAATTGTAAATAAGATGAAAATCTTAATTCATGCTTCCATTTTGTCAAACTTTCTTGTTTCATGTTTGAAATTTTCATTCATTATCTGTTTATTTATTTTTTACAAATGGCTGCCTTTCATTGTTGGATCAATTTTGAAATTACTCTTCTTAACTTGATTTGCCAACTCCCATAGTATGTCTATTTATGTGCTTCTGTTGTATAAAGCTTTTGGTCTGCTTTAAGATATTAATTAAAAACTCTCTGTTTGTGCTCTTCTTCTCGCTCACCATTTTATTTCCCTTATTTTAGGGATATTTCAGGACTATATGTTTATCCTCTATTTTCTCTTACCATTTTGAGTTGGTTATTTTTAGTTATCCCATAATGCTAAGGACATGGGAGATTGACAAGTCATCTAACTATATATATGTCCCTCTTTCTTTTTTTTCTGATATTTTTTTTTTGTTTGAGTAAACTCTTTTATTGATAGAAAATGGGTATGGTCTTTTCCTATGCTCCCCACGGGCCATATACCAGTACACTTTACAATACACTCCCTCTTGGAAAACGTGGGTGTGTCACCCTTGTGATTCATACAGATGTTCCATTGGAACTTTGCATTTAGGCATGCCTTTGCTACTTGCAAGAACAGCTCTACTGCATGATTTTAATCCCTCAAAAGAGAAGACAAACTCTAGGCCTGCCAATGAGATGATGTCAATGAATTTTTTCAAGAAGCTTCGCGAGTCAGTCACATCACTTGAAGCTGAATGTTGATTTCTTAAGTTTCATATGAAAGGATAATGATCTTCCATATGTTTGGTTTTCTTAGCAAAGTAATATTGTGGTCAGAGACTTAGCGGATTAGTGTTTCTGATGTTATACTGGATACTGACGATCCAAATTTTGTCAACAAGGGTGTCACCCAGATGCATTTAAGGGTGTCATCCAGATGCATTTATCAGTTCTAGCTACTGTCGCTTCATATGTTGTAGTGCTGGATTTGGGAACTTTGGCATATTACTTTATGACACGATGATATTATTACTGATGAAGCCATGTAACTGCTTGCTGCGAAAACTTTTGGAGATAGATGATCATTGATATCTTCCCTTTTTTGGAACCATTTTTCTTGAGGTAGGGGGGCATGTGAATTGATAAGAAATATCATATTCTTGGATACATATACTTTTTATGAAAACTCAAATTCTAAAAAGACAAAAAGCTTGTTTCTGATTTACATGAGTATACTTATCTAAGTAGTGAATGATGTTAACAAACAGATGCATCCTACAAATCTACAGTTTATCAGCACCACTGACATCAGAAAAAAAATGTGTGGAAATCTGCAATTCCTGGAGAGATAAATATGGCTTAGTCGAATTTGTTTCGCAATGCCAATCACTATAATAGTCTGGTTAGTTCCTTTTTAGGAATACATCACATTTATTAGTGGATAACTGCATATTACTCAAAAGGTATTTTTTTAGCAAAGACACTATCACCTATCATGCTTCAACTGACGAGTTAACTTCTACAGCCAAACTTCTTTGAGAGAAAACCATCAATATTTTATAACCTTCCAAATATCCTGATAAAATTTTTACTTCTCCATCAACCAAGGTAGATTTCAGATGTCATTACTTGATGATTGCTTGATGTATGGATCGTGACTTAAGAAACCTTTTCTAGCAGTTACATTGCTAAAATTTTTGCATCTAAGTTTTATCGAGGAATTTCTTTCAACTACTGCAAACTTTGGGTTATAAAAAATTTAGTGAGTTTCCTTGCTCTTGAGCAAGTTTCGACTTTAATAACAAAATATGAATTGTTTATAACCAACTTAGTACTCTCTATCATCTTTATCTTGATATGGTGGCAGTAACAATGAAGCTTATGATAACATCAACATGGTTATAATCTACTCTTCGTAAATGGTTTAGTCATTAGGCACCAATGTTCAAGTATTTGTTTTGAGTTTTTGCGACTCATCTGGGTGAACTCTGCTTGCTGGGTTCCTGACTTTTTATTAGGAAAAGCTTGGTTTTTGCATAGTTTTTCAGCATTTAAATTAAATATACTGGAAAAAGATCTTGTGGTGGTATGTGTCTCACCTTATGGACTTGGTATCAAAGTTTGAATCCTGCTGTGACATAAACTAAATTTGTTCAAAATAGAAAATGCTTGTAATATATATATAGGATTGTATACAATGAGACCATTTATCTTTGGTACTGAGAGGTCACAATTACTTACAACCATCCGATATGAAATCTGATAGCTTGGGTATGTTACAAAGTTCGAGAAAAATTCTTTTGAACTTTGAGCTTGGTCAATGAAATAAATGCAGCCATCGAATTTCACATCCAATGGTCAAGATTAATTGTGACCACCTTGTACCAAAGGTAAATGGTCTTATTATATATATATATATATATATATATAGGGTGCGGTTTGTATAGAGCCTAGGCTCTAAACAATCAAATCAGAGCCTACTTTCAAATGGTGACGAGAAATGTGGTTTCAATACTGAAAATATTTGTGAGAGCCTTAAAATATATGTTCATCTTTATTTATAAAGTTTAAAGCATAAAAAATAATGTAGATCGATAGATCTATGAAAACTTGAAAAACTTGAAAATTGACGGTCTAAAAATGCATTACAAAATACCCTATTTCCAAAACTTGAAATCCATTTTTTCTCATGTCCATTCATCTTGATGTCGAGATGATCAATTTGAGGATACATGGGCATCAAAACAACCTCTTCTAGTGTAATTTTTTAGGTAGGCTCAAATTTGATGGGTTAGAGCCTCGGCTCTATATAAACCTGTCCCATATATATACATATATATATATATATATATATAGGGAGTGGATTCTATCAGCCCATGGGCCTGACTGCTACAGTGTCAGCCAATGTCCCAAACTCAATCTGGCGTGATTTGATGGTTACAATCTCATTTTGTATTGGAATTTAAATTTTTTTTCTACAAATCCAAATCACTTGAAATTTTAGGCGTTCATTTTTCTCATCAAGGGGTACCTAATAAAAATATTGAACACAAATTCTCAAAATATAAATTGACCAAAATACCTCCGAAATGTTTCGGGGGCATTTTGATCAATTTATATTTTATGAATTATTTGTTTTATATTTTTATTAGATTCTTCTATTCTTGAAGAATAGACGTTCCAAATTTCAAGTGATTTGGATTAGTAGAAAAAAATGAAAATTCAAACACGAAATGAGGTTGTGACCGTCAGATCAGCCCAGATTCAATCTGGG